TTGCTGGGTAAAAAACTGGCTGGATGGCCGGGCCCAAAGAGTGGTGGTGAATGGAGTTAAACCCAGTTGGCAGCCAGTCACCAGTGGTGTTCCCCAGGGCTCGGTACTGGGGCCGGTTCTGTTTAATGTCTTTATCGATGATCTGGATGAGGGGATTGAGTGCACCATTGAGGAAAAGGCCTCAAGCTGCACCAGGGGAGGTTTAGGTTGGATATTGGAAACAATTCCTTCACCAAAAGGGTTGTCAAGCACTGGACCAGGCTGCCCAGGGAAGAAGTTGAGTCCCCATCCCTGGAGGTATTTAAAAGACGTGTAGATGCGGTGCTTGGGGACATGGTTTAGGGGTGGACTTGCCCGTGCTAGGTTAACGGTTGGACTCGATGATCTTAAGGGTCTTTTCCATCCTAACCAATTCTATACAATATACAAATTCTATACAAAATACAATCCAAAAGATGCTTCACAGGAGGCCATGAAAAATGTAAAAGCACATTTTGACAGTTAAACAAACTTAGAGTCAAAAATCAAAGCAGTTACCCAGAAGTACCAATTTCAGTGTTTTAGAAGCCACATCACCGTGTGTTACTCGCCACAACTGGGGAACATAGTTATAGTTAAAGCATTATTCAATAAAAATAGCAGCAAGAAAAAGATGGAAAGAAGCAGTAAAGGCTGACTAGGTATGTATGAATATTTTTATTGGGGTATTTTTTTAGTTATTATTTCGCTCCATGACCTAAAACTGCACTTTATCCCTGTACCATGGAAAGGGATCTACCTCCATTCTGCAGACAAACCCAAGGCCACAAGGCAGCTCCATGGAGAAGCAGGGAATTAACGGAGCATGCCTGAGGAAAGCCTTTCAGTGCCAATCACAGACAGCAGAACAGAGCTGCCTGCTTTCCTCAGCCTCAAAAATGAAACTCGCCTTGTCTTTGTGTTATGGGTTTTTTTTATTATTATTATTTTGTTTGGGTTTGGTTTGGTTGGTTTTTTTTTTTGGGGGGGGTGTTGTTGGATTGGTTTTTTGTTTTTTAAAAAAACAAGAGTCAAAGAATTCAACAGTAGGTAATGGAAACTGGACAAGGAAACGGATGACAGTAGTTTAGTAAACTTCAAGGCAACTATCATTCAACTTCTTACAGTTACTTTAATTCCTACTTAAAAACAGAAATTAATCACAGCGTATAAGAAGTCCTTAATCCACAATGCCCCGTTGTGAATCTGTCTGGTGTTTGTCAAAAGTATTTATGTTTACACAAAGAAGAGACAAATTGCTCTGAATTGTCTGTGCAGCCTGCTTCCAGCTGTCTTATGCATGATGAACAAAGAGATCAAGTAACTCTGGCGTAACAGAATGTATTTAAACGCACTTACCAGAAGCATCAGCATAAATGATCCCAGGTATATGATCAGAAAAAAACCAGAAATCATAGCTAGAGTGAGAATTCCACGAATCCACCAATTTTTCCATCTATTTTTCAAAAAGAGAATAAAAAGCAAGGAGTTATAAATGAAAATAAATGCCACTTCCTTTACTAACTGAAGTTTATTAGAAACAAGGGGAGTTCCAAAAATTTTCGTCCTTATTAAAACACATAGCAAGAAACACAGAATAAACCAACTATCCAACTAAATAGGATACACCATAAAAGAAATTAAAGTTAGCCACCTTTCTTCTTCCCCCATGCACCACGCCCCGCCAACATCATTTGCAATTCGATGGATCAACCCCCTATTGAAGCTGCTGTAAAAATACATCAGGACCCTCAAAAAGCATCACATAATCAGCAAGACTGATGGGGGCCCAGCCACATAAAGGATCATATATGAAAGAAAGGCTGCCAGGTAAAAAGCATACCATTCTTTGAGGAGTGACAGACAAAACCCAAAACAAAACAGGCAATCATCAACTTTCAAAGGCAGCAAAGTAGCTATTCTGCAAGTGTGCTGGTTTTGGCTGGGACAAAGTTCATTTTCTTCTTTGAAGAAGTACGGTATGCGGCTGTGTTTTGGATTTGTGCTGGAAACAACGCTGATAACTCAGGGATGTTTCAGCTATCACTGAGCAGGGCTTACCCAGAGCCAAGGCCTTGTCTGCCTCTCACCCCACCCCACCAGTGAGGGGGCTGGGGGGGCACAAGGAGTTGGGAGCGGACACAGCCGGGACAGCCGACTCTGGTGACCCCAGGGATATGGGGTATGATGTCACGCTCAGCATATAGAGCCAGGGGAAGGGGGGGACACTCGGAGCGATGGTGTTTCTCTTCCCAAGTCCCCATCACATGTGATGGAGCCCTGCTTTCCTGGAGATGGCTGAACACCGGCCTGCCCAGGGGAACTGGGGGATGAATTCCTTCTTTTGCTTTGCTTGCGCACACAGCTTCTGCTTTACCTATTAAACTGTTTTTATCTCAAGCCACGAGTTTTGTCACTTCTTAACTTTCCGATTCTCCCCCATCCCACTGTGAGGGGAGTGAGGGAGCAGCCGTGTGGAGCTTAGGTGCTGGCTGGGGTTAAACCACGACAGCCAGGTAGAAGGTTACCTACTGAAAGCAGTCCTGTGCTCCTGTGAGCACTGGAACCAGGACAGGAAAATGTGTGACAATGAGGGGTGATGGGTCAAACCAGCTGTACTCTTTTGCCCTCGTAGACCTTTGTAGCTACTTGTGGCTACCCAAGGAAAGGAGGACAGAAATTCCTGTTACCACAGAAGCACAGAATCGTTTTGGTTGGAAAAGACCTTTAAGACCATCGAGTCCAACCACTAACCTAGCACGGCCAAGCCCACCACTAAACCATGTCCCTAAGCACCACACCTACACATCTTTTAGGTATCTCCAGGGATCATGACTCCACCACTTCCCTGGGCAGCCTGGTCCAGTGCTTGACAACCCTTTTGATGAAGAAATTCTTCCTAATACCCCATCTAAACCGCCCCTGGCACAACCTGAGGCCGGTTCCCCTCGTCCTATTGCTGGTTACTTGGGAGAAGAGACCGACCCCCACCTGGCTACCCCCTCCTTTCAGGTGGTTGTAGAGAGCAATCAGGTCTCCCCTCAGCCTCCTCTTCTCCAGACCGAACACCCCCAGCTCCCTCAGCCGCTCCCCATCAGACTTGTGCTCCAGACCCTTCCCCACCTTCGTTGCCCTTCTCTGGACTCGCTCCAGCACCTCAAGGGCTTTCTTGTCGTGAGGGGCCCAAAACTGAACACAGCACTCGAGGAGTAGAATGTCTTCTTTGAAAAAATAAGAGTTCTTTTTAAAAAAGCCAAACAATTGGGAAGTCTTTGCTGTTTGTGGGATTTTTTTGTAATTTCTAGAGTAACCAAAATGTTATTTCCCACACCCCCAACCCCCTGCCTCCAAAGGCCAGAATCAGGAAAAAATCAAGAGCTCAGTTAATTTTTTATTTTTTTTTTTTAAATAAAGAGAACCCTCATCACATGCTCCTCTCTGCCATGAAAATGTTTCTAGTTATCAGTACTCTGTATTTTATTGTTCATATTACTTTTCAGTAAGTTTTTATCCTCTTTTGTCTGTGTTTTTCCATACAAAAAATTTGCCTCTAAAAGTACACTGAATCGACTATCAGAAGTTACTGCCAAGCACAGAAAACCCCTACTATAGCTTAAAGAAATTATTTCTAATGTTTTGCTTTGTATCAGTCTTGTGTTTCACTACTGCATCAGGAGATATACCTGATTCAGGGGACACTGTTCATTTTGCACTATGTTCCAGTTTTAATGTAAACTTCAACTATATTAATTCAGTTCTCAAGGATGTGATTCATCGGTAGGTTAACAGCAGCTAAGGCCACTAACTGGATTTGCCTTAAGTATCAGAACAAAGCCACAACAGGCTTTATCACCACAGATGCTTTATGTTCTTCTATGACGTGGGCTATAGAGTAGCAGCTTGCTCCTAGTGGTATATGTATAGCGAGCAAGATTCCTTTAGAAGAATTCAAGTTCCCCTAAGAATAATGTTAAAATACCACATAGCATCTTGAGGTCGTTGACAAGCGCAGCAGTAGAAAGACCCCTACAGCAGAATCTGGAAAGCCACCTGACAATATTGTATCCTAACTCTCTGCTGGAAAGTTACAGAGACTAAAGGTCAAATACAAAGAGAAACAATATTTCTGAGAGTTATAAAGCAACTCACTCATGTTGGGCATTATGACAACAGCTCTGGTGGGACTGCCAGTTACTAAACTATCGAGTAATTTTGAATCTAGCATTCATAAAGCACCAAGAATTTAATTTTGCACTCAAAGCACCTTTGTGCAAGCACTCCAATAAAGAATTTCAAGCACGTGAAACAGGAAAAGTTGTGCCTGTGCCTCTTAGTTGCAGGCTTTGAGGTATCACCATGCAAGTGCCCTTCGGAGCAAGTCTGATTTGGAGACCTAAGACTTCCACAACATTTAACATGGAGAGAACTCTGAAAGCGATAGGAACTAGATACTCCTTGCAGCATGATGGCGGTAGAGAATATCACAGTCTGCTCGCAGCTGGTGTGGTTCAGAAACGTGCTTTTTGAAACCTGGGAACAATACATTTGTTTATAGCTCCCAGACATCACAACAGATTAGAAAAGAAGCAGGTCAAAAAACTGTAGTTTCACTCTGCTATTGGAGATATCTACCAGGGATCAGGTTTTTTACAAGGACTCGGAAGTTTTTAATCGTAGTCTGGATTGGAGGTTCTCCTTCTGACTCTTGCAAGACCTAAGCTGCATCTAAAATATACACTGTATATTGCTTGGTTTGTTATGTTGAGCATAAGGTATATATGATACACACATTCATTTTACTAGGTAGGTTTTTTTGCTGTGCGATCCATCACACACATAAATGCTCTTTCATTGCACTAGTGAAAAAAACGTAATGCGAATTGCCACCTCCAAAAGGGTTTGACTGATCCAGTATTGTAAAGGGACTGTATAAAAAAAAATTATACTAGGAGCTTTATCCGTTAGCCTCCATGAATATGCAGGTCTCCATGATTATCTGTCTATCTATACAGATACACACTCCCCCGCAGATGCTAGCCCTCAAGCTCCTGTGAACAGGGGTTGGAGGCAGAAACCTAGGTTTGAAAAGAAACGGCAGGAAAAAATTAAACATTGCTTTAAAAAGTATGAAAATAAAAGTTACGTTGTATTTAACTGTAAAGAGAAATTATTTAGAAGTGGAAATGCTGTCACAAGCAAAACTCACCCAGGGAATTTATACTTCTTCCCTTTTCATTTATACACAAATACTGTCCCCCCCTTAACCGTGGATGTAGGAAATCAGTTTATTATAACCCTCAGAAATAGTTATTCTGGATATCAAACTCCATGACAATTCTTTAGCCCATTTTATTGCAATGGTCAGACTGAACAATGGCAAATGTCTACGTAACCTGTAGCTAAACTGTGCAGCGGTTTACTTGGAAATGCATGCAATGGGCAATCTTCAGGTTTATGCAAAAAATACTACACTGAAGGGATTATCAAAGTATAAATAAATCAATGATATCCAGTAAAAATTTATCCTTCAATTTTCAAGTGTATCATATGACATTTAAAACCTCAGTACAATCTGTAAGAATTAAAACTGCAGCATAATCTGTAAGAATTTTAGCCAGCAGCTATGACATTTGAGAGCTGTTTGTTTTACTATACCTGGCAGATAAGCCTGACAAAGCCCTTTTGAGGATTTCTGGAGTGCTGTCTGTTGCTGGAGGAACATCAGGAACATCTGAATCACTTCTAAGATCCAACTCACCAAGTCTTTCTTCCAAATCTACTTCCTATGACGAAAAAAAAAAAAAAAAAAAAAAAAAAAAAAAAAAAAGAAATCAACACAACACGCAAGAGTACTAGTTATTAAATCAGAAAACAGTATTCAGAGTCATAAACATTACTTCAGAAACTGATATCATCTACATGACCTTCTAAAAAGACAACAATGGTGTACTAGTGAAATCATAGATGATGTAGGAGACAAATATATCCCAATAAATGTTTATAAGAAGGCCAGTACTCAGATATTGTGACATTACTTGCTCTGCTCAAGAAACTTCACATTCTAGGCACTTTTTCAACCCACATACACAAGCATGAGGATATATGTTTCCAGAAATACTACAGCTGACATAGAACACATAAGTTTAACAGAAATCCCCAATCCTCATAACACATTCGCTCACCTACATCTCAAACCAACCTTTTACGGAATAAGAAGAATGGTCTTCTGGTGGTTTAATGTCACTTTAAGAAAAAAAAAAAAAAAGAAAATGGAACACAGAAAAAAACCCCAGTCCCTTTACACAATGAAAAGAGGTTGCTGGCACAGTCTCATACATACATACGCTAGGACTTGAACCCTCTGGTTTGAAAAGAGCAACCCAAAACCAAACTGTGAAGTGACACAGTATTATTCAGAATAATTTCTTGTATGACTCCAACACTGCAGTTGTTTCTTCAGTATTCGCTAATGACCACTCAGGAAGACATCATCTAGACAGACTGCATGTCTAACCCAACCGCAAAAATAGGCAGTACATATTTTGGTGACAACGTACAAATTGTCACCAATGGTTGGAGTAGACTGTCAAGACTATTTGTCCCTCAGTTAAAGCCAACAGTCAGGGTGCTGATGGTTTACTTCACTTGCTCTAATGTTACAAACCCCATGACTCTGGGGAGTCCGAAGGCTGCACTTAGCCCTGGCACAGCGGTAAGGCAGAGAGGTGTCTCTAGCTCAGCGCCTGGCTCTCTTGAGACCTGAACTTCCTCCTGACCTCCCCGACTTGCCTCATCTCCTTACAATCCTAAACAGCTTCCAGCCTCCCCTGCCGTCTCAGGTTCATCAGCTGTTAACAGCTCTATGGACTGCAACGTAGCAGCAGTGCTTGGAAACTTTCTCCACCACTGCTATTTCTGTCTCCCTCTCTTTCCAACCTCCTCATCGCAGAGCTCGGTTCCTTCTCCTTAATCTATTTCCATGAACGTGACTGCTTTTCTTTCCTACTTCTCCTTAATAATATTATTTTCTTCCCTTGTTCTGAGTATTTTTGGCATTTTGGCACACAGCAGAGGTACATCCTCCCTCTCACCCCTCCATAAGACACCACAGAATTAAGGCGACCTACAATCCCAGCCACCGCACAATTACTCTGTTTATAGGCTATCGCCTCTTTCTCTCAATCCGCCAGCCTTTTCCAGGCAGTTACACCTGAGTGTAACCATCACCCCAGCGACCGACCTCTGGAAGCAAGAGAGGTGGAAGGGAGAAGGCTTTTTGAACCTGGCCTTCCCAAGCCAGGCCTAGGCCCACGGGAGCTGACCAGGGTGCTGCAGGCCGGCCCTCG